GCTTTAGGTGTAGATTGTCATTGATTCAGAAAAACTATTTGCAAGAACTAAATGGAAAACGACCAATAGACAAGAACCAAAAACTGCCTGCATTTAAAAAAAAATGAAACGATCAAAAAAGAATTCAAAACATTAAAAAACAGCAAACAGATTCAAGTTAAAAAGTAATATGCAGCTGGCTAATTAAGAGATCAAATTCTTCAAACAAAATGATTTGCTGTAAAAGGTTTAAAAGGTGCTAGGGATTTCAGCAGACTGGTTTTTTTAGCAGACCGGTTTTTTGGCAGAATCAGAACAATTACAAACTGTAATAGCAAACTTCAAACGAGGCATTGGCGATTAGCGACGCTTGCCCCATTGCGCTTCAATTCAACACGAATGTTTTTGAGCGCGTAAATTTTGTTTTGCCGCTAATTTAGACTGCACTGCTGTGCTTTTAAAATTTATAGTTTTGTTGACAAATCGTGAGATAAATGACTTAATTGGGGAAGCTGAGCGTCTCTTTGAGTGTCACTTTATTACGTTGGTCTGCTACAAGACTCATTTTTAAAATTTTATGCCAAAAGGTTGGTCTGCTAAACGATCCGTCCCGGGTTTAAAACTGACCTTAAGCTCGCCAAAAGATCATCGAATGGGATAAATGAAATCATTAGCTGTAGTCTAAACTTACCTGATTTCGAGACGGGGTCAAAAACAGCAGCATGTCAATCTTGAATTGCTTCACTTCAGGGACAAGTGTGTTTGTTTGTAACTAACAGGAAGAAGGCATAAAAAGTCATTTAAAGTAAAGAGTTGAATTAGAAAAAACATCATTGTCAAACTTCGAACAATCAACCAAACAATAGAAACAGACAAGTTTTTCAAGAATAATTTTAACTTCTTAAACTATGCAATCCTAATTTCTCATTTCAAATATCACTTTGCTCGAGTTATTCTTAATGGTGGCTGGTATTGGCATCATTAACGTTATTCGGGCCAGATGTCGAATGAACATCAATCACTGCTTTTCGAATCTGGAGCAACAAATAAAATTGAGGGAAAAGGCTGGTATCAGCATCTATAAAAATATTCGGGCCAAATGACGAATCAGCATCAATCACTGCATTTGAAATCTGCAGCAACAAACAAAATTGAGGGCAAAGTTGAAAACGACTTGGAGTCTCAATCGTAAAACTCACACAAATTAGGCTGGCCAAAATGGTTCAAACGTTTAAATTACCTGAGTTAAAACTTATGATTACGAAAAACTTCTAAAGTTTTTTTTTTTAATTACATACCTACTTTCAGAGTCGCGCCACTATGTGAGTACTTAATTTAATTTCTTCAGTGCATTTTATGTGATTATGCTGAGATAAGGCTAGTTTTAGGTTGATCCGTCTAAAATGAATCAAAGGTCTACTGTCGAATAATAACTAGTGGTATACATGAGCTTCCAACCCTGTTTTTAATGGCGTTCGCGTGTTTTAGGTATTTTGAGACCTAGCCATTGGGACGTTCTTATTTCTAGAGTGGGAGGGGCTTTTAAGCGGTAACACGATTTTGTGTTCTCATGTCTTACGTGAACCGAATTGGCTCCGACTGAATGAGGTGTAAAAGCACAAGAGAGAGTGTCCCTGACCCTGAGCCATTGGTTATAGGGCCTGTTTTTCTTAACAAAATATGAGGCATAAGCGGACGACTCTTATACCAGCAGCTTAACGGACTGGGCTCTTGACGAGTTTATGAGCATGCCAGCTCATCTTAGTGAGGAAGCCGATGGCTTTCCAGAGCCTGCGCTTGGATACACTGCATTGGATGCTTCAAAGTTATTGAGACCCTCTCACCTTTAAAAGGCATATACACGAGAAAAACTCTTTCGCTCGTCGAACGACGCCATATTTTACTAAAACTTTAACACAATTACATAAAAATGGATTTAAAGCAATAGTTCCGGAATCGAAAAGTTTTCAAAAAGTGCCAAATGCCCTCAAACAAATTTCAAAAAACGCCCATTGCTCTCAAAACACACACACACACCAAAATTGTTTCGCTCACCGAACGACGCAATATTAACATCAAAGATTTTTTATCATGCTGCACATGTTATTTAGAAGTTTAACATCTGCACAAAAATGGAAAAAAAATGTTCTCAAAAATTGTAAATGTGAAAATTTATAACCATGATATGAAGTCACTGAGCTAATATAACATAGGGCTAAAATTATAACGCAAAAAAAAATGAAATTCAAAAAAAAGAAGTTTTTAAGTGTCCCCCTCACCCTCCAACCACACACGCACGTTTGAAAAAAAAATTGCCGTCGAACGACGCAATATATGGCCATTAAGCTAAAATAAAATAAGCCAAAACTTATCACAGCGAAAAAAGTTTGAAAAGCGGATAAAAATTCAGGCTCTTGTTGCTTTTCTCCCACCTGCAATTTTTACTAAAAAATTTACTGTTCACATTGTCCGATCGTTATGAAAAGTGACACACGGACTAATTAGGATATGCCAAAATTTTTGGTCTTCAGACTTATTCCTGTAAAACCACTCGTTACACCACAAAACTGACGGTCGTCTAAGGTAGGAAGGAGGCAAAAGAAAAACAGCCAAAAAATATAACTACTTGAAACCTTTAAAATGCATATACACGAGTAAAACTCTTTCGCTCGTCGAACGACGCCATATTTTACTAAAACTTTAACTCACCTACATAAAAATGGCTTTAAAGCAATAGTTCCAGAATCGAAAAGTTTTCAAAAAATGCCCATTGCCCTCAAATAAATTTCAAAAAACGCCCATTGCTCTCAAAACACACACACACACCAAAATTGTTTCGCTCACCGAACGACGCAATATGAGGCCACTATGCTTATATAGTACAGGCCGAATTTTTTTAGGCGAAAGAAAAAGTCAATTAGAATTCAAAAAAATAAAGATTATTTTGAAGCTATTAAGTCCCCTGATCCTGTTTTAGGTCCCCCGTACCCTGTTTTGATTTTTAAAAAATTAATTTTGGATTAATGACGTACTTGACACTTTTCAAGATTTTTGATCATTCTGCACAAATTAACTTAGAGTTTTAAAACCTGCACAAAAATTGGGAAAAATTGTTCTCAAAAAATTTAGTTGTGAAAATTTAAAACCCTAATATGAGGTCACTAAGCTAATCTAAAATTGACCTAAAATTATAACGCAAAAAAAGCAGATAAATTTCAAAAAAATGAAGTTATTAAGTGTCCCCCTAACCCTCCAACCTCTTATGCTCATTTGAAAAAAAATGCCGCCGAACGACACAAAATAAGGCCGTTAAGCTAATACAAAATAAACCAAAACTTATCAAAGCGAAAAAAGTTTAAAAAGCCGATAAAAATTCAGGCTCTTGTTGCTTTTCTCCCACCTGCAATATTTACTGATAAATTTACTGTTCACCTTGTCCGATGGTTATGAAAACTGACACGCGGATTGATAAGGATGTGCCAAAATATTCGCTTGTCAGACTTAATCTTGTAAAGCCACTCATTACACCAAAAAACTGACGGTCGTCTAAGATGGGGAGGGGGCAAAAGAAAAACAGCCAAAATTAAAAAAATACTACTTTAAAGTTATTGAGTCCTTCTCACCTTCAAAAGGCATAAACACGAACAAAACTCTTTCGCTCGTCGAACGACGCACTATTTTACTAAAATTTTAACACAATTACATGAAAGTGATTTTAAAGCAAAAGTTCCAGAATTGAAAAAATTTGGCTTAAACAATAAATATTGAAATATTGTGCGTTTTTTTCACAGATATTTTCACATTTATTAGTTTGTTCAACGTGACCATTTCCAATGCAATATGGTAGAAAAAGTTGGTTTTTAAAAATGAGTTCAAAAGTATGGGGGGAAATTGGAAAAAACCGGTAATTTTTTTTATTCAGTAAGCTTTTTTGTGGGAGTTTTTAATCCAGTGTTTTTCAAAATTACAAGTTTTTCAGGTTTTTGCAACCTCTGTATTTTTGATTTTTGTGGAGTATTTCTTCCATTAACTAAGAAAGTGAACTGAACTTAAGAAAATAACTGAGGTTTAACGGCAAAAAGTCATGAGCTATTCTTAATGAAGGCTGGTATCAGCATCTGTAAAATTTTTCAGGCCAAATGACGAATCAACATCAATCACTGCAATTTGAATCTGTACCAAAAAACAAAATTGAGGAAAAATATGAGGCCACTACGCTTATATAATACAGGCCGAAACTTATAAAAAAAACAGAAAAAGCCAACTAAAATTTTAGAAAATAAAGACTAAATTGAAGTTATCAAGTCCCCTCATCCTGTTTTAGGTCCCCCTTACCCTGTTTTGATTTTTAAAAAAAAATAATTTTGGAATAATGAAGTACTTGACACTTTTCAAGTTTTTTTGATCATTTTGAACATCTTAGCTTAGAATTTTAAAACCTGCAAAAAATGGGGAAAATGTTCTCAAAAAATTCAGATGTGAAAAATTAAAACCCTAATATGAGGTCACTGAGCTAATATAATATAGGCCTAAAATTATACCGCAAAAGAAGCAGATACAATTCAAAAAAATGAGTTTATTAAAAATCCCTCTCACCCTTCAACCACACACGCACATTTGAAAAAAAAATTGCCGACGAACGATGCAA